ATATACACAGATCTGGGATCAGTCTTTGTATATTACAGACCTAGTGAGGCGTAAAGCCTCAAGATCAAACTGATAACGAGTTGAGGCTAATGATGATACGGTACTATTATTACATACACAATAAGCCAAATACAAACCACGAATCGTGGGTGTCCGAGCGTATCAGAATAAACCGTCACACGAAGGTGCGCCTATCAAGAAACCAAGTAATAGCGATAATGGCACCATACCAAGGTTGTTTTTGAGAGAGAACGACCAAACAGGGCCCTAACGGGCCAAAATGATAAAACACGCGGATCGACGGAAGCAGTCACGTGCGCACATGCACGCAAGCACACCCCGTCGCATAAGGCGATCGAACAACCAATCAGAAGTCAAGGATGTCAACTGGTGTTGTATGGGACAGGGAGACCGCCGGAGAAAAACTATATCGATTTAAAGCAGAGGAAGCCGTCCACCCGATCGGCAAAACCCACTGGCTCAGCTCAGGCACTGAGCAAAAATGAACGCGAATCACCAGTTGGGGTAGGTCAGTGGTATACAATGTAAAAGTGGATGAAGTAACAAAACTGGATATGAAGACGATTGTAGTTGCGGGCCAAAATAGACTAGACCGATTGAATCCTAATTTTTATCATCTTTTTATACACGAAATATATAGCTTTATTGCCAATTCTCATGATGGAAGATGTGGCTGCCAGTTGATATTCAGAAATGTGGAAGATAGAACACAAAGGAGGAATTCAAAGGAACGATCAAATTAATCGCTTCGTCACATCTGTCCAAGTTGAGATATCCTATGAAATATATATGACAACATCACATGCGATTCCCTTTGCACTCCTGTGCGGATAGTAAAACATTATAAAGCGCATAGTTTCAGTCCGTAGAACCATTAATTTGTCTCTTCCAGTTCCTGGGTTCTACCTGTCGGTAACTCATTGAGCTTATCAATGACAAAAGGAGTCGCATGGAGTCATAACGATTAGCTCGCCGATTTACGACAGACTGAATCCACCAATTTCTCTGTATGGTTGTGTTGGTGTGCACAGCACGCTCACAAACCTCGACAAACCAACGTGTCTCTTATCCGATTTGTCGGATATTGTGGTCGATATTTATCACACCAAGTTTCATGGGATATATGACTGTGCGCATGTGTGCTTGCCCGTGTGTCTTCGATATCTTCTGTTCGAAAGTAATTAGAAAAAGGACCGAAAATATCACTTTCTTGAGGATGTTGGAATGGAATGATGCTGAAGGAACAGAAAATCTACGTGCTTTCGTGTCTACCCACATTCTCGGGTAAATTAAATCCGGTGAAAATCGTCACGGTAAAAACGTTTACGTGCACCTAACGCAATCTGATGATCAAACAAAGGTACATTCAACGATGCTGATACTCTAGATCATTTTCGCGCTTTGTGTTTTGCTGAAACACACATACAGTAACACGTGAGTATCAAAAACACCCAGTTGGTTGCGGGTCATGGCTCGACAATAATGCAATCGCACAGGGGGAAAGTGTATGGCAATAAAGTACGAAATGCTTCACTAGAACACGTGGGGGTGGGGGCTCGGATTCCATCACAATTTGTGCAAACACGTACAGGTTTGATGCGTAGAAAAGCAATGTGGAACTAACAATATATTCATGTTTAAATTTATATATATATATATATATATATATTCGTCACAATAACTTTGTTTCCAGGGGAATTTTGTCCAGTCATTCACATACTACTTATTGTCAAATATATATATATATATATATATATATATATATATATATATATATATATTTGACAATAAGTAGTATGT